CTACAGAGTGCAGGTGGGCAAAAAAGCAGGAGCGACTTCCTACTCCCTGCTGGCTTCCCCATTGACTTTGCTTGTGGGAAGCCAGCAGGGAATGTCAGAAATTGCGATCACGTGACCACGGCTTGCTGAGATGTAATCGCGAGCCAGGCACTAAGCGCCTGGACCATGAACACATGACTGCAGGGATGCTGCAACAGCCAGAACTCCAAGGACCAGTCATAAGTCCTTGTTCAATGCTATCATAACTGAATGGTCACTAAACAAGTGGTCATAACCCAAGGACTACCTGTATAGTCTTTTTAATTCAGAAGTTGTTGGCATTATAATATAGGTGCCATGTTACCTATTGAGACCTTTTAAGTTTTTGTTACTCCTTTTTGTTACTCCTAACGTATTGGTAAAATCAGCAATTAATGGAAATAGCAATGTCTCTCTATTTGCTACCATTGCCTTTCCTCCTTGGGCAGTTGAGGCATTTCCACCACATTGTTTTGTTCTACTTTGGAACTGATTCCCCCTCTATTTTTACAGTACCATCTGTTGGGAGAGTTTATTTGTTTCTGTCTCTATTCCAGTTTATTTGAAATCATCCAAAATTGGTATTTTTCTTTGAATCATGCAATTCTAAAGATTGCTTCTCCTATACCACCTTCCATGTCCTGATGCCAGTAACTATTCTCTCTTTTCCTGTACCATTTAGAACTTACCACATCTAATCCGTTCCCCCATGTAATATTTAACCTCAATCAGAGCTATTGGGGAAACTGTCTGATTGCTGACATGGTATAATTTCACCTTAGCAATTTACAGAGACTTCTAAATACAACCGAAAAGTGGTTGCAAGAAGGTGAGGAAGCTTAGGGAGGATTTCAGTGCCTTTTTAAAAGGTTTTTATAACAACAGTTCCTTTGCTTTTCGTCATAGCAGTCTCAGATTTTAGGTTTTTTTTGGCAAACAACCAGACAAATGCAAGCAAACACCATGTATTGAAAAATTTGGATGGGTGACACTAGCACTTTATTTTCTTTTTGCATGGAATAGGACTGATGAGATTTTTGTTACTGCAAAGCTGGTGGTAGCTCAGAGGGTGTGCCTAACCTTAAACCTAACCCTGCTGCAAGATTATGAGTTGGAGGTTGCCAAATTTGGAAACTTTGAAAACAGGATATTATATAGTCGACCCTCCTTTCAAAGCTTACTAGTGTCTTACATCAAGTTTAGTAAGAACTAATTGCTATAAGAAGTATCCTATAAGCCGAACGTCTGGATCTAAACAACAGGAGGAAACTGGGAACAAATATGTACAGCCAAAACACTGTGTTGTGAACATGGATTACATGAATCTGTTCCGTATGTTGTTTATCATATGCTGAAACCAGTTTATTGTTTCTTTTGCTTTTTAATAGTCTTCTCAGTTGATAGTTAACAGCCTCAAGTCCTTTTACTGTGTCAACCCAAAGTGAGTTCATCAGTGGCAGTTATCATAGCAGCATCTTCTGTTTGCTTCAGCATTTGCTTTAAAAGACGTCCTTTTCACTCTTGGGGTTGATTGGTTGGTTGGTTGGTTAATTGATTGATTTTTGGTTCATATTTTTTGGTGAGGATGGAGATGGAAGTATTAAAGAGGAAGAAAAAGAGTTTGTTGTTCTGTCCTTCATTCTCCCTCTTATTCGGTTACAGAGTTGATCTTTGGAACGCAAGCAACTTGAAGTTTGGAGATGAGTTTCTAGGAGAGTTGAGGTTACCACTGAAATTTCTTCGGCAGTCAAGCTGTTATGAAGCATGGTACTCCATTTTATTAAACTATTTAACTCTTTATTTGTATTTCATTATAAGTTGCTACAGAAGAATTCATTGCTCCCCATCATAATTGGTATCTTATCTGTGTGTTTTTTTCACAAATCCTTCTCCTACCCGCCCAATCCAGTTGTATACAGAAATACATGTCATCACAACCATAATGTGTTTATCCACCTAAAAACTAAAAGACATGAAGAAAGATTTATAGAATCTTAAGACTGGGAGGAAGGCCATCTATACAGTACAATCTATATATAGTTTTAGAAGCTGTTTTATGTTTCTCTCCTTTGTTAGGTATTTCCTGCAGCCTAGAGTTAATGGCAACAAAACACTGAAACCTGATGATCTGGGTTCTTTGCGGTTAAATGTGGTTTACACAGAAGACCATGTCTTTCTTCCAGAGCATTACAACCCACTTAGAGACCTCTTATTAAAATCTGCAGATGTTGAGGTAATTTTTCCATTCTTAACTTCTCATAAATATTTATAATTTTACAATAAATGGGCTGGTGCCCTCAAGCTCTCTGCAAACACTGGGTCTTGTTAATTAACAAATTGGAAGCCAGATGCTGAAATATGCATTTTGCCTCCCCTGGAGCAAACGTCCAGGGAATGATCTTGTTTATGATCACTGTGTTCCCAATATCATTTGTCTGTGGGAAGCCAGCAGTCTTGACCAGGATCATTGGATAAGAGAGACAGACTTCAGTGGTCCTGCTTAAATCTCTGGATTCCTATAGTTATTAGCAATGAGAAACCAGTGGTTTTATCTCTGCACTGCAATTGCATGCAGCAGAGTTTGGTGTTGCATGACCGTGTGGGAATTCAGCAATCTTGAGTAGGGCCACTAGGAAGAAGGAGAACATCCCATAACTTCTACCTACTTTCCCTTTCCTCTCAGTATCTCTGCTTCAGAATTCTATACTCCACCTGTTTTTAACTGTGGGAAACCAGTCACCTCCCCAACCTTCTCTAATAGCTGATCCATTGGGCTCACCAGCAGGCTGCTGATACCATGCACGGAGAACTTCTCCATTGCAATATCTTTCTTTGATAATCTATTGATCAGCTGATTGTTAAGCTGGTAGAAACTATGGGAAGAAGGTAGCAGCAGCCATACCACATCATACAGACAGCCTCTGAAGATAGCTGGTTGGCTACTCCTGGCTTAGAATCACCTAGTCTAGTAGGTTGCTAACCCTTGGCTTAGTGCAGCAATTTTCAAACAGTGGTCTGTAGAACATTGGCTGTTTGCAGAGATCCCCTAGGTGATCAACTGAAACCTCCCACATGTCTGCAAGTCAGCTGGTGTGACAAAATGCATCAGTGGCAGAATAAACAAGTCTCAAGTATAGACTGTTCCTCCACATTTGTTGTGCTAAGTGGAACTGTGATCTCACACAAGCAGCTCAAAAAGAAAAGTGCTAACAGAAATACTGCGATCAATATCTAAAACTAGGATTTCATTTGATTGGGGATTTATTCCGGCCAAGCTCCTTAGTACTAAGAGATTTTTACTGAAGAACTTTCTCGATCAAGTTCACGTTACGGTTTGTTATTAGAGCATGGGGTACAAAAATAATTCAAGGGGTAAATAAATAAATAAATAAATAAATAAATAAATAAATACTGAATTGTGGATTAAAAATGTTGGTACAAAATTTAGCTTAAAACTCCTTAGAAAAATTTAGAGGATAGAAAAGCATATCTAAATATATCTGTGGTCATTATCTTATTTGTCAAAAACATGAATTCCCATTGGAGAAAAAGCATTAGGAGAGGTGCTTTTAATTGGATGGTCCTCACATTCTCTGAACATTAATGTAGTGGTCAACAATTGCAGAGAGTTTGAGAAACATTGACTTAGTGCAGCCCTGCGCAACACACAGACCTCATGCAGCCTGCCAGGCAGCCTTGTGCATTCCACCAGTGTTCTTTAAAAAGTAATAAATTCACTGCCACCGCCATTCCTAAAGACACGCTGCTCGGTACCTCCAAACTTCACTGCCCGCAGCATTGCTGCCACTCCACTGGCTGATCTGCACGCCACATATTCCTTTGCAGCCCACGAGAATTTTTAACTTATTAATATGGCCCTTTCTCATCTACAAGTTGTGCAGCCCTGCTTGGTGAGACAAGATTACCTGCAACTGGTTTGTTCAGTTTTTTCCATGTCCTTGTGACCTTTAGTATTGTCAGGTCACAATACTGCATTAACAGTGAAAGCTAGAACAGGCTATATTTCTCTGTCAGAAACTAGATTTTAAATCTAACAGTCAAGTAGCTTTCTCTCTAGTTGGCTTAGCATTCTTGCCATTCTTTGTGAAGATGCACTGTACAACTTCTCCTGCACTTGTGATTTGAAATTTCTCCAGGTGGTCAAGGGTCAGTTCTTCCTTTGTATTCCTCTTAATGAATCGGGTTTCTCATCTTTTCTCATCAGGTAATCTTTTGAGTGACCTGTCCCATGATCCCCAAACCTCTCTAAAGTATCTTCTAGCTCTCAGTTTTCTTTCATGAAGTATTAATCACAGCCTACATTGTCAATTCCCTTTCCTCATAGAACACAGTGTAAATCTCATATTGACATACTGTACCAACTTTGACCAAAAAAATCAGAGACTGGGATCACTTATTCCACTAAAACATCATTTGTTTTTACCAAAGTTTATTGAATAAGCTATAGCGGTTTGGTTTATACATCATGTTAATTTGTACAATATGGTTTAATACAGCATGTGAACCCAGCCAAAGACTTCATCTCACAAATACAAACGGGATAAAATAAGGGGAAAATGTAGTTATAGAAAGCATATCTTAAATTGATTATTAAGTAAAGCGCCCAAAGTATATCTACAGCTTAACAAGTTCTTTTGTCATTCCACTTCACAGAGAAACAGCTGACGTTTAATGAAAGATAATATGATAGTTTTATGTGTGTGTGTGTTTGTGTGTGTGTGTGTAGCTCTTTTGTGATTAAAACATACAATTAGGCCTCAATGCAGTGTGTCATAGGTATCTGTGTAAATGGACACTGCTGTTAGGAATTTGGCAGAAGTTAATTTAAAAATTCTTTCAGGGATGCCTCCGTTTAAAACGTTTTGCTTCTCTCTACATTTAGCCTGTTTCAGCATCTACTGCCCATATCCTGGGTGAAGCCTGCAGAGAAAAACAGGAGGCAGCTATACCCCTGGTTCGACTCTTCTTACACTATGGCAAAATTGTGCCTTTCATTAGTGCAATTGCAAATGCAGAAATAAAAAGAACTCAGTAAGTACAATAGTGCATTTATTGTGAAAAGAGGCACCAAGGAGCAAATACTGACTTTGGGAAGGTCGTGCACAAGGACAAATGGGCCTTTGATTTTCCATATTCATTTTTGATCAGGATTCCAGAGCAAGTATTTTCAGCGTTAAAAAGTTGTGATTGTGGTTAATAACAGACTTAAGTTAGTCTGGGAATAAAGACAGGGACAGAATTGCATCATCTGAATATTTCGGCTGTTGAGCGGTATAAAAATTAGTGTTTTTTTAAAGCAGGGTCAGTGTTTTGGCCTGTAGCTCCATAGCTAAAATCTGTATGCTATCTTCAGTCCCTGTCTGATCAGTAAGATTGTTTTACAAGGAGAGTGGTCGCCCCAAGATGTCCTGGGAGCTATTTTCTCCCAAAACTTAACTAGCATGCAAGACAGCACACAGAGTAATTGGGGTATACAGTATATCCCACTTGATTACATATTTTGTAACTTGCCTCACATGCTTATTGTAAGGAGAAACTGTGATACCAGATACAGTATCCATGGATTAAGGAGAGAATGCAAATCTGGTAGAGAAAGATTTGACCAAGCTACAGAACTGCGTATTTCTTTGTTCTGCAGCCAGATATGAAGCCTGGATAGCTCATTTATCTTCTGCAGTTATTTCACTTCAGATTTGTTCTTACTGCTATGAACTATAAACTTATCAGCGTACGGACAGCCACTGCACTGAAAGAATTGTCCTGTTCAATTGCCTGCTTTTCTAGGAGAAGAATCCTGGGCTTTGCTGACCAGGCTTAACCAGAAGAACAACTGCTCTGGTTTATTTATTTAATTAAAGTTTGCCCCACCTTTCTATTCAAAAGAGCACTCACAACTGCTAACAACATTTTAAAACATGATACACCTGATTAAAAACTTAAAGTGAATACCAAAATAAGGTAATCATTAAAAGTCTGGCAAAGGAGGTTCTCCTTTATGGATTTCCTAAATGCTGAGGGACTGGAGAGCAACACAAATTGCAAGGTGCCTTCTATACCCTGGGAGTAACATAAGAGAAGGCTGTTTCTCACATGCCTGATAGCAAGCCTCTGGCACTGGGGGCATTTCAAGAGGGTCTGCTGCAGATCTTAATGCCAGAGAGGGCTGTAAGGGGAGGTGTTTTGCACAGCAAGATGCCCTGATGCAAAGATCAGTGCTAGAGATCTGCACAACCCACCATTCCATTTCTCTTTAGGACCATGCCAATCCAGCCATTCCAGAAATTATGCAGTGAGTTTCTTTCAGTTGTGTGTTTTGTGATGCTCCAGAAGTGATTTAGCTCCAGTTTTGTCTGGGACACCACAAACAGCTACTACTTCAAAGAAGCCCACTAGAACAGGTAGATGAGTGTGGCATAGAGGAGAAATGGAATGTTGAAGAATTCTCTGCAATGTTTGTTGCTGGTAAGTTTTGCACAGGCCTTATCAATACCAACATTAAACGTTTTATGAAGATGCCAATGTTTTGGCTACCGAGGAAAAATCTGTGCCCAGCAAACTGTGGTGGCCTACTTCCTTTGCAGCAGGCCAAGGCTGATGACCACTATTGGTCTTCACATTATGAGTAGCCCTTTTTAATGGGCATCTAGATAACAGATATATCTCCTGCAATTAATTCTTTTATTAAAAGTTTACTACAAGAAGGCTAAATGATAAAAATGTTTCCTTTCAGAGATCCAAACACCATTTTCAGAGGAAACTCGTTAACCTCCAAATGCATTGATGAAACCATGAAACTAGCAGGGAAGCATTACCTTCAAGTCACACTGAAGCCTATTATTGATGAGGTGAGCTCACCTTTTGTCAGCCCTCCCAGGTAAACCAGACAGGGAACACAACCAGATGAACTACTTCTACTTTATCGTTAGGCTACATTAATAGAATCTTGCAAGTCTGAAAATACAAATCTCCCACCATCACTTTTTACTGCCTGATCAGTTAGGGTGAGCCCTTTCTAAGTTTTTCTCTGCCCATTACTCAGTTGTGGGCTCCTCCCCCTTTTATCTGATCATTCCCTAGGCAGCATCTCTTCCCCCCTTTTCCAAGGTCATTCTCATATTCCATTACACCTTTATTAGCAGAATGTGCAGTATCTTAGTATATTTATGTTTGACCATCAACAATGTGCCAAGTCAAGAACATACAAACCGTATGTTACAGAAGTAAACACTTGTTTCTGAAAAAAAGCATTCTACGTACAAAAGAAGCAATTTGTGTAAATATCTGATTATTTTTAGATCCACACAAAAGTTTTTTTTCCTTAAACTTACGGAAATACTTGTTATCTCCATATTGCAGTTGTCCTGTCTTTTTTCCAATGACACAAATAAGCAAACCACATATTTCCTTTAGTTGATTCAGCATTTTCCTGATTTGGTAATGTCATGGCTAATCAATAATCTATGCTATTTTTAAAAAATTAAAGATTGCAATAGTGTCATAGTCATTTTTAGTTTTATTTAAAACAATGAGAGGTAGATTTTTTTCTCTTAAATTCTCCTTTGATCGGGTATTGATAATATTAGAGTCCATTGGAGTTGGGTAGCTAATAAATTTAAATATATAGAATAACTAAGTAAATAAATGTCATTTCATAGCACTGGAGAAATAGTTTAAAAACTAGGACTCTTTGAAAATGTATTTCTCTTTGCAAACCATTTATTTCCAAATGAGAACTTTTCCCCTATAGCCTGAATGTTTGTCTCCTTCCTTTGTTTGCGCTAATCACCATGTAGCACTACATTAGCAATGTCACTAAAGACAGTTAGGCTAGAATTTACATTTTAACCAGCACTGGAAATTAGATTTGCAATGGGTTTGTAAACTCAGCCAGGGAAAAAATGGTCACTGCCACAAATGGTCAAGAAGTTGAACACAAGAAAGAACACTGTTTTCAGATCACTTATTTGTATAAAACAACTGCAGTAGGGCAAATCCCATCTGAAAATTAAGACATGTCAAATCCCATTGGTAGTTAATTCGCTACACTAGTATCAATTATATATTTTCTTTCCTTTTTCTTACAGATCTGCCAGCTTCATAAACCTTGTGAAATTGATCCTGTGAAGTTGAAAGATGCTGACAATTTGGAAAATAATAGGGTGGGTACTTCAGATTGTAGAAAAAAAAAAAGTTTGCCACTGATGAAAATGATTACTCCTTGAAATGTGTTACCAGTTGTAAGCTAGGTGAGGATGCACCATCTTTTTTCAATAGGAATATAATTAGCATGTAGATTTGCTACTCTTCTTTGCAACAGTGACAGGATGATACTGATTTCAGTTTCCTGATGCTGCAAATTATCATATTGTATAAAGATTGTTTCATATATTACCAGATTTCAATACAAAAGGAAAGAAAGGAGAGGGACAGTTTGTGATGGCAGGCAAGCATTTCTTGTGGCGTGGAATCCCACGAAAGCCTCCATTTAGTTCAGCTTCAAGAATGTGAACACCTAATATATACATCCAAAAACCAAGTAGCAAAATTCATCCATACATGTATGTATGTGTGTGTCTGTGTATTGTAGACACTATGTATGTAACAGATTATAATCTACCTTGGGGTTTCATATAAATGCATCTATGTTGAAGCATTTCTATATGGAAACATTCTCATTTCTAAGTATTTCTAGTAATCCAAGTCTATACCCCAACCACTGATGCTG